CCCCCCTCCCCGTTTTTTCCCGCTTCGATATAATCCGGCAGGCGGGAACTTCTTCTTCTCCGCAGCTATTTTGGGCCCTTTGAAGAAATGTTCCTTTTTTTTTTTGCTTTCTCTTCCTGTCTTTGTTCTCCTTTCTCTCCTTTCCTTCCTTTTCCTGCTCGTCTATTTTAATTCACGCATGGACCTTTTTGAGCTTCTCGACTCGTTCCGAGGACGGCCCGGAATAAACCCGGGTTTGGCCCACCTTCAGCCCCGCCCCCCAACTCACCACCGCAGCCCAGCCCCAAAACCTCCGTCGCTAAGCGAGACAATAGGATAAGGGAGTTTTGCTTGTGTCGGAAGGCCGCCAAAGGGGAGGGGGGAATCCCGTCACGAATGCGACCGTCATGAATACGAGTCGGTGGCCAAGCGTCCGGATTTCGATCCCGTGGACGGCGGGAGAGGCTGCGACGGTCGTAAGCCTGAGAAAGGCTCCCTTTTTCCAGCCCCGCGGCGACTTTGAACGGTCGCTAAGCGAAACCGTCGTAAGTCGAGGACTCCCTGCACAGTATTTCCTTGCTGGGCGTTTTTTTTAAATCTTAATTTTCCTGCCTGTGGAAAATCAACCGGGATTTAAAAGGCGGGCCAGATGTTTCTCTCTGCCCCCGTCTCACGCTCTTCTCCTCCTTCTCTCCGGGCGGAAGTTTGAGATGGGGGCCTTCATGCCCAACCTGCCTTCGTCCATGCGGAAGCCCCCTCCCCAGGCGAAGACCCCCGTCACCCTGCAGGAATTCCTGGACACCATCCCGGAAATGAATGTGACCAGCCAGATACTCTGCGTCCTCTGGATGCTTCGGAACGAGACCCTGGACATGGTGAGCCTCCCCCACCCCCCATTTCTCTCCCTCTCCTTTCCTCCTTCCCTCCCTCTCTCTCTTTCTTTCTTCCTCTCCTCCTCTCTGCTGTCTTCTTTGTTTTCTTTCTTTTGTTCTTGTTTCCTTTCCTGTTTTCTGTCTTTTCTTTTTCTATTTCTTTTTTTCTTTTTTTCTTTCATTCTTTTGTTTTCTTTCTTTTTCTCCTTTCTTTCTTTCTTTGGTTTTCGTTCTTTCTCTCTCCTTTCTTAATTTCTTTCTTTCTTTTGTTTTTTTCTTTCTTTCTTCTCTCTTTTCTTTTCTTTCTTTCTTTTGTTTTCTTTCTTTTTTTCTCCTTTCTTTCTTTCTCTTTCTTTCCTTCCTTTCTTTCTTACTCCTTCCTTCCTTCTGTCCCTTCCTTCCTTCCTTCCTTTCTTTCTTTCTTTCTCTCTCTCTCTCTCTCTCTTTCTTTCTCCTTTCTTTTCTCTTTCTTTCTTTCTTTCTTTCTTTCTTTCTTTCTTTCTTTCTTTCATTTTCTTTCTTTCTTTTTTCTTTTTTCTCCTTTCTTTCTTTCTTTCTTTCTTTCGTTCTTTTGTTCTTTCTCTCTCTTTTCTTTCTTTCCTTCTTTTTTCTTTCTTTCCTTTCTTTCTTTCTTTTGTTTCCTTCCTTCCTTTCTTTCTTTCTTTCTCTCTCTCTCTTTCTTTCTTTCTCCTTTCTTTTCTTTCTTTCTTTCTTTCATTTTCTTTCTTTCTTTTTTCTTTTTTCTCTTTTCTTTCTTTCTTTCCTTTCTTTCTTTCTTTTGTTCTTTCTTTCTTTCTCTCTCTTTTCTTTCTTTCCTTCTTTTTTCTTTTTCTTTCTCTTTCCTTTCTTTTTTTCTTTCTTTTGTTTCCTTCCTTCCTTCCTTCCTCAGCATCTTTCACTTCCTGGCCTCTTTGCTACTCAGCCACCGTGCTAAACGTCCCCTGCCTTCTACCACTCTCCCCCTCGGCCTCTCCTGGCTCAGAAGCTGGGGGGGGGG